CGAGACCCCGTCTCTACCATAAATAGAAAGAAATTAATTGGCCAACTAATATATATAGAAAAAGTTAGCTGGGCATGGAGGAGCATGCCTGTAGTCCCAGCCACTTGAGAGGCTGAGGCAGCAGGACTGCCTGAGCCCAGGAGTTTGAGGTTGCTGTGAGCTAGGTTGACACCACGGCACTCACTCTAGCCTGGGCAACAAAGCGAGACTCTGTCTCAAAAAAATAAATAAAAATTTGTCCATTTCATCAAAGTTGTATCATTTGTTGACATAAAACTGTTCACAATATTCTATTATAATCTTTTTTTATTTCTGAAAAATTGTAGTGATGTCCCTCCTTTTCTGACTTTGGAAATTTTTTTCCTCTTTTTCACTCTACCTGAAGTTGTTAATTTCATTGATCTTTTCAAAGAGCCAATTTTGACCTTTTAATTTTTAGCATAAACTTCTGTGTTGATCAGTTTCCTTTCTTCTTTCTTTGGGTTTAGTTTGCTCTTCTTTGTCTAGTATATTAACTAGACTAGGGTTACTGATTTGAAAATTTCTTTTCTAATAGAGGCACTCGAAATTATAAATTTTCTCCTAAGCACTGCTTTAGCTGCATCCCATAAATTGATGTTTTCATTTTCATTTGATTCAAAATGTTTTTAAATTTCACTTCTGACTTATTTACATGGTTTAGAAATATATTAATTTCTAAATAGTTGAGTATTTCTCAGATTTCCCATTAATTTTTAAATTTAATTCCATGTAATTGGAAAACATAATTGGTGTCATTTAAATCCTTTTAAATATGAGACTTGTTTTATGGGCTAGCATTGATCTACCTTGAAGAATTTTCCATGTATCTGCAGTGACTGGGTGGAGTATTGTATGTATTTTAGTGAAGTTGTTTAATGGTGTTGTTCAAGCCTTTTATATCCTTGCTGGTTTTCTGTGTAGTTGTTCTATCAATTATTGAAAATGGTACTGAAATCTCCAACTATTATTGTTGAATTGTCATTTTTGTGTTCAATTGTATTAAGTTTTGCTTCAGGTATTTTGGGGCTCTGATATCAGGTGCATATAGATTGATAATTTTATGTCTTCCTGACATATTGACCTTTTATCATTATTAAATGTACCTCATCTCTAGTAATATTGTCTTAAAGCCTATTTTGTCTGATATTAATATAGCCACTCCACCTTTCTTATTGTTACTAATTGTTTGCATGGCTCTTTTATCCTTCTTTTACTTCCAACTGATTTGTGTTTTTTTGGGGGGGGCACCCCAGCTAGAGTGCAGTGGCGTCATCATAGTTCACTACAACCTCAAATTCCTGGGTTCAAGTGATCCTCCTGCCTCAGCCTCCCGAATAGCTGGGACTACAGTCCCACACCACCACACCTGGTCAATTTTTTTTTGTAGAGATGGGGTTTCACTCTTACTCAGGCTGGTCGTGAGCTCTTGAGCTCAAGTGATCCTTCCGCCTCAGCATCCTAGCACTCCCCAGAATTTTGATAAGGATTATATTGAATTTAGTTAGGCCAGGCAAGGTGGCTCATGCCTGTAATCCCAGCACTTTGGGAGGCCAAGGTGGGAGGATCATTTGTAGCCAAGAGTTAAAGACCAGTCTGGGCAACATAGTGAAATCCTGTATCTACAAAAAATTTTAAAAAATTAGCCAGGCATGGTGATGTGTGCCTGTAGTCCCAGATACTTGGGAGGTTGAGGCAGGAGGATTGCTTGAGCTGTCATCATTCCACTGCACTCCAGTCTGGGTGACAGAGACCCTGTCTCTAAAAAAAAAGCAAAACACAGAACACCATATCTGCTTGAATATGCCTAGATTCTCTCTGAAAAGACAGATGACGAAGTAGTAATTGGATAGGAAGAATTTTCACCTTTTATAATTCTGAATCACGTGAATGTCTTTATCTATTAAAAATTAACCTTGAGCATAAAAATTGTTCAGCTTAGAAATTTTAGAAAATGCAACTAAAATTTAAAGAAAACTTTATCTGTAACTCTATAACCCAAAGATTTTTTTCATTTAGCAATAGCTCGAAGGCAGCCTTCATCCCCAGGAGTTTGCTGTATCTTATGGTAGGGGCTATCACACAACCCACCTAGCAGTTTGGAAAGGCCTGACTACCAGGCCTCAGTGTGTAGATCTAGAAAAGTCCTACAGATTAGACCCTGAGGAAACACTACATTTATGGGAAAGAAGGAAAGCAGTCCCAGAGACAGGTTAAGAGAGGCCAACAAGATCCTAGCTGAGCTCAGGATAGAAAACCCTGGTCATCTGTGCCTAATCTCCAGCAGGTACATTATGAACTTGTCTCTTCCCAGAGAACAGAAGATCCTTGAGAGCAAGGACTTTTTTTTTTTGAGACACAGTCTCGCTTAGTTGCCCATGCTAGAGTGAGTGCCGTGGCATCAGCCTAGCTCACAGCAACCTCAAACTCCTGGGCTCAAGCAATCCTGCTGCCTCAGCCTCCCAAGTAGCTAGGACTACAGGCATGTACCACCATGCCCGGCTAATTTTATATATATGTGTGTGTGTGTATATATATATATACATATATATATATATATATATAGTTGGCCAATTAATTTCTATTTATAGTAGAGACGGGGTCTCGCTCTTACTCAGGCTGGTTTTAACTCCTGACCTTGAGCAATCCGCCCGCCTTGGCCTCCCAGAGTGCTAGGATTATAGGCGTGAGCCCGGCCCTAGCAGGGACTTTTGTCACTGCTTTATCTGCAGTGCCTACAACAGGGACTAACTAGCTCAGGGTAGCTGGTCAATAATTGAGTGAATGAAAGGGTAAGGGCTAGGATCTAAGTGGTCACTAAACTTGGCAATTAGAAGGCACTGATGACATAAACCAGGACCACTTTGAGGACATCCTCCTTCCTTATCCCCTCTCACCCACAATCTGTCCAATACCCAAGGAGACTACCACTGGGAGTCTGTCTCCTGGAAAACAGAAGAATGTTCAGGTACTTAAATATGAGTTCACCTAGAACTATAGGACACAAGGCCTGTCTTTATGTATACACCTCATTCACCCATTTTGATGGAAACACTTCATAGGTAGACACTGTCTTTGTGATGGGTACCTCTTCAAGACTTTATGTAATAACTATACAGCCTGTAAAAGCTATGTATTGATAAACACTTGAGCATGAAAGTAATTTTTCATTCAAATTAGTCTCATGAGAATTATGCAAAATGAAGAAATCATCCCATCCATTGATCTGCTTTATGTGTTTCCACATTTGCTTAAAAATTAGCATTCTTGATGATCTTTTACAGCTCCCAACCCACCAATTAGTGTTGGCAGATTTCTAACTATACATAGCACTCAAAAGATCAGATTGTAAAAATACCGTATCTTATGATCAAGAGCTCCAAACAGAGCTTGCATGCAGTGTCTGAGGCAGAACCCCACCTGGCCACATCAGCTGCTCCAACTTCAAAGCCCTCCTTGGGCCAGCTGAGCCAGCTCACTCAGCTTCCTTCTCCTGCTGATCAGGCCACGCAGGACTTGTTAAATATGCATATCAGAGCTCCCAGCACACGGTAGGAGCTCACTAAGTATGAACTGATTATAAACTTAAAATTTTCCTTCAGATTATAAATGTGACTAGTATCTCTCTCTTTTCCAGCGTTCTTCATATCTTCAGGTTTTCTCTCTTCACCAAGGCAGTTAAGGCATTACCTCCTTTATGAAGTTTTCCTTCTCACTAAAAGACAGCTCCCTTTAGACCTATCATCCCTAAATGCAATCAGCTTTGCACCTTCTGCTTACTCAACACTCCACAGAGTACATTTGTTACATGGCATTTATTCAATGACTTTCTATATTTAGTCACCACTTAAATCACTGCTAAGCTCTTTTTCATGTCTATCTGAATCACAGTTCCGATTCTTAGATTGTGAAGTCGACAGACAAGGGCTGGCCTGTGAGCTACGATTTATAATGACTAACATGGTGTCACAATCAAAGAACTCTGAGTAAATACTTGTGTACAAACAGGATGAGGATGGAGATGAGGGTCCTGAGGAAGGGCCCAGACTGGCTGCCCAACCCACAGAAGCTGAGGCCTGAATAAGGCCTGGGATCTGCTTTCTCCTCTGCTCAGAGGGTCCATCTAAGGGCAATTCTAAGGCACAGTGGTGAAGGACATGATTGGTCCCCCAAGTGTGGTCCTCTGGTCTCACAGCAGCCCCTTGCCTGAAAACAGTGCAACAAATATTCCATTTAGAAGATCTTCCCAAACACATGCAAGCAGCATTCTCTAATGAAAATGGAGGCAAGGTCTTTCTTGGAAGAGAGTGCCTCAGAAGACACTCTTTGCCCCAAGACCAACCAGGTCCCTTTTAAGGTCCCTGAGAACAACAGCCTGGGAGCAACCAAGACTTTCAAAGGCACAAAGTGGATGAATGGAAAGATAACACTACAAAAAAAAACTTTGGCTTATAAAACCTCCAACCTGAGGCAGGGACATCAGTGTCCACTAACATGCAGAAACAGATATGATTGTAGCAGAGATGATTATCAGAAATGCTTCGGCATTTCTCACATTGCCCACATCCCAAACCCTGCTCGACCCTCCCACACCGCCCCCCCAACCACACACACACACACACACACACACACACACACACACACACACACACACACACACAATCATCTGCAGAGTAAGTCAGAGGTTGGCATCCAGAGCCTGATGTCAGGATAGAACTCTTGGCACTGTGCACTAAAACTTCAAGACCAGTTAAGGAAGACAGGCCTCACCCTTTCAACGGACTCATGGGATTAGGGAAAGTTCATGCATCCCTCCCTTGATTCCCAGCTATGACAAATCCATCACAGATCTTTCAATAACCCCAAAGGAAATAGACTCTAGCAAGGGATATTCCACACAGCCCCATCAGCCAAACCAGCGACTATACAGCAAGGCCTCAATGTGGCTCTCTCCACACAAAGTTACCTCCCTATAGTTTAGGGGTCCCATTTCCCTATACCCAAAGATCACAGAACATACTTTATGTGGATTGTCAAGCAGCAGCATCTGAGATATCACAGCTGGAGGCATCAAAGGACTGAATGCAGGAAGCTTGGAGCTGGAATGCCGGCTGTAGCTTCACTCTCATTGACTATTGGGGAAAAAACCCAACAGGTAACTCATTCCTAACAAACTACATGTTCCATGAGGGAGATCAGATGAACGGGAACTTGATCTCCACACCACCCCCCAAAATAAATGGCTTCTCAGGAGGCATAATATCCCAAGGCACTCATGGAAGCCCAAGCAAACAGCTCCCACTAATTGACAAAAGGATCCAAAAGGTCTTTCCTTCCACATACAGAATATATCTGAAGTTGTGTGGTCAACCACTGGCATCTAAGAGGCAGCATAAACAGCCAGGGCACATGTTGGCTCAAATTCTAACTCTATTCTTTTTTTTTTTTTTTTTTTAGAGAGTCTCGCTTTGTTGTCCAGGCTAGAATGAGTGCTGTGGGCGTCAGCCTAGCTCACAGCAACCTCAAACTCCTGGGCTAAGCGATCTACTGCCTCAGCCTCCCGAGTCCTGGAGACTACAGGCATGCGACCACCCGGCTAATTTTCTTATATATATCAGTGGCCAATTAATTTCTTTCTATTTTTAGTAGAGACAGGGTCTCGCTCTTGCTCAGGCTGGTTTGAACTCCTGACCTTGAGCAATCTGCCCACCACAGCCTCCTAGAGTGCTAGGATTACAGGCGTGAGCCACCGCACCGG